TTACAACATTCGTCAGAAATCCACGGCGTTCCCCGATCATTACAATCTTTCGATTATCTAGGGTCTTCAGAACAGCTCTTGGTCTCAAAATCAATATTTACTCGATGTTTGTCCAACCGATCTACGTTGAGAATTAAATCAAATTATTCTAAAGGTAACTCCATCAAGTCGACCAGAAAAATCTCCCCATTGATCTCTATAGGACATTCTCTAAAAATACGATTCAACATTATGGACTTACCTAAGGGACTTTGAATTATCACCGAATGTTCAGTATTCTCCACATGAATATTTAGACCCTCAAAAATGAAATGTGATACATAGGATTTGGTAGAACCACTATCAAACAATGCAAAGTAGGGAACTGAATGAATAGTAATAGTACCTGCAGTCACATTAGGCCCATCGCGATCCTGTCGAAGTCTGGCAGTGTAAACCAATGCAGGCTGTCCGACCTCAGATCTGACTGGACCCCTACTCTGAGATACTCGGCCTCTACTAGCAGATCCTGGTACTCTGCTCTGATTACGACTTACTACTGGAGTATGAACAGTACTTTGAGTACGTGCGGAGTACGAGCGTCTGAACTGTAGTAACTGGCCCTGGACAATCCTTCATGAAATGGTCACGAGAACCACATCTAAAACAGGTACCCAATTTCTTCCAGCATTCTCCAGGATGACGTCTCCCACAATAATCACATAGCTGCAAAGGTTGCCACCCAGAAGAATCACCATGTCTAGAAGAATGTACAACTGAAGAACCAGATGTCACAGGCCTGACACTCACCCCGCTTCTTTGTAAAGACGTACCCATGCCTCTCTTGTTGGGGCATGTTGAAGAATCAACAGAACCGGAAGGCCTTCTGAATCGGGTTTGAGCTTGATCACTATCCTTCTTGTGCTCTATTCCTGATCGTTCTATTTCTTCAGCAGTCTTGGCTATCTCAACCAATGCATCAAAATTACTCTCTCGCGGTGGGTAGCGACTCGACTCCTGATCTCATACCTGAGTCCATTCTCGAACCTCAAGCATCGATCTGTCTCAGTGTCAACAAGTCCAGGCGGCTCAAACGGATGAACTCAACCTCATAATCCATAACAGACATGTTACCCTACTCTAGATTCTGAAACTCCTGGCGTCGCTCCCGTAGGTATCTCTCTCCGATGTAGCGACTCCGGAAGTGCGTCTTGAAAAGATCCCATGTTAACTGGTTTCTTGGAATACTACCAGAAATTGATTGCCACCATCTGAAGCTCTCTTTCTTCAATATAGTTAGGGCCCCCTTCAACTTCTGTTTAGATCTGAGGTCCATCTCATCCATAATCCTCTCTGTATCCTCTAGCCAATACTCAGCGTCTATCGGGGGTCCTCCAGTAATACCCTCGAATGGGACTACACCAGCAGCAACTAAAGAGTTTGAAATCTCAACTGCAGTCATATTATTAGGGGCTCTTGCAGCTCTCTGAAACATGCGGAATATAGCTCTATTAAGGGCATCTTCATTTATGTCAGTACATCATCTCCAGTGACGGGAGGATCTCATAGGAGTAAACTGATCATCATGAGAAAGGGTAGGATCTACTTGCGGAGCAGGAGGATCACGTGAAGACATCGAATCATCTATCGTAACAGAAGGTCGAGTGACTCGTCCTCGACCACGGCTACGTCCTGTTCTACGACCTCTAGCAACACTTATTGTTAGATCTATAAGGCTCTATAGAAAGAATTCAAAACATATGTCAGATTAGCATCAGGGATCTCGAAAAATCTTTAAATCATAAAATAAGGTGACACATTTTTTTTCTTCAAAATTTCTTAAAATCCAAAGCTTAGGACCTATATACAGTCTGAGTGTTTAAAACCGAAAGCTCTGATACCATCAAATGTAACCCTCCAGACCCAGTCTATAAGTTAGACCCAAATCCAAGTGGTCACATATCCCATTCAGAGTTTTTTTAAAACAACTTTTAATACATTAGATATAATACAGAACAAAATATAAATAATACAAATATATTCAAAACGATAGCAAATATATGTCACCAAACACAAACTGAGAAACATATAGAGATATACGTTCGTACAAAATAAGTAGTTGATCTCCCTGATGCCAAACCTGCTAGCTTATGGTCTGCTGTTATCTGAAAAAGTTAAAAACTATAGAATGAGCTAAAAAACTCAGTGTGCTCCAAACAGTGCATAAAAACATACGAATAAAATATTCCAATAAAATCAGTTATCAAACATATTTTAAAATATGAACATTATTTCCATTCAATCATTCCGGTTTTTATCTTTTATATATTTCCCCGAAACATACACCCACCTGCACACCAGTAAGGACTTACCCTAAGCACGAAGCTGAGGAGCCTGTAGTAATAACGTCTCCATCCAGTCGCTTCCATAACTACAATGTATAGGTTCCCCAGTACCATACACCCACCTGCACACCAGTAAGGACTTACCCTAAGCACACAGTAAAGGAGCATGCAGTAATAACTTCCCCATCCAGTCACTCCAATCACTATAATGTGTAGGTTTCCCAGAACCATACACCCACCTGCACACCAGTAAGGACTTACCTTGAGCACACAACAAAGGAGCCTGAAATACTTCCCTCAATATATCCCAGTGACAAAATAAACATGTATGTATTTAGGTGAAATAAATATAATCCATTAAAACATGAAAATGGTTCATGCTTAGAAATCATATGCAGAAATTACATAAACCATACGTCAGATCAGTAATATCCGGTAAATCAGGTGGCGGTAACCAGTATTCATAAAACATGTATCATGTTGTAATAATATTCAACATCATCATAAATTTGAAACTATTTATATGATAGTTTAAAATAGTAAGATAACACCGTTAGTAAAACACATGTAACAGTATGAGAAATCAGATAGGGAAGCCTATTACTGGGTTTGTCGATCACGCTCTGCTGCAGCGCTAGATCCTACAAATCGAAAAAATCCATATTAGAATTCTAATATAAATAAATAAATATTATTTAAATAATATACGAAACCTATGGGTAACTCTCGTAGTACGCGATTCAGGCTGATCTAACGAACGTACACACCAGACCTAACTGATCATTGCTCAAGTGAAATACGAGTACCTTCATAAAATATTTTTATTGAATCAATTCCTTAACCAGATCTCAAATAAATAATCAAAATCTTAAAATATTAAGCCTTTTGGGTTTACAAGCTCGATTCGGGAATTTCGGGTCAGAATTTGGCAAAACGGACTTCGGAATCAGATTCAGGACGTCAAAAAACATAATGTATGACCTTTCGGATATTTAAATTCTTGGTCAAAATCAAAGTCAAAGGGTTTGACTGACAATTTGGAGACTTTCGGGTTCGAATTTGGTGATATGGACTTCGGATTCGAATTTGGAACGTCGAAAAATGTTAGGATAGGTATACTCGGTCAAAATCAAAGGTCGTTTAATACCCGGTCAAAGCCGGTCAAAGTTTCGGTCAACAAACTGTCAACTATTTTACAGAAATATCACCCTTTTTTTAAAATAATTACCAAAATAGCACTTTTTTAGAATTAAATTCTCAGAATAGCACCCATTTCGAATTAATTCCCAAAATCACCCGATCAACGGTCGGGTTGGGTTAACGGGTCGGGTCGGGTCAAAACCGATCAAACCGGTCAACCCTTTGAAAAACCAGTTATTTTAGCCTTCCCCACGCGCAGTGGAGGCGCGTGAGGGCTGTTCTGGCTACGTAAAATTCACGGAAAAATTTCTAAAATTTATTTTGAGCGATTTCGAGATACTTACAAAGATCGGTTCAAATTTTTGAACGGCGGAGAGCTCGATTTCATCAAATCGAAAACTTTGACCGCTTCACCTCCCCACGCGCCGCCGTCGATGGAGACTAAGGATGACACCGACGGACTCGGAACGGCACAGGGAACACTATGGTGCGGGAGGTGTCGTAAACGGAGCGACGATCGACGATGAATTTAGGATTTTCTAGACAGTTGTGCTAAAAAAAAGGTTGAGGCTTTGACTTGAAATTCATAGCGTTTGGCAGCGTTTCACCTTAATTAATTTAAGAGAATTGTTCCTCACTCGATAACGAACACAATGGTGGTTTCAAAATGACGATCGGAATTCAGACGACGTCGGGATCGTTGTCGGAAGTTGAGGTTGGGAGAGAGGATTTTGGGAAGTGGTATATATAAACCAATATGACCAACTTTTCTTGGGTAAATTCAAGGTTTGGTCCCTAAATTTTTTTAACTCTAAAATAAGTTACAAGTTTTAAAAATTTATAATTTAATCCTTAAAATTTATCTATTTTCACAATTAAAACTTCAAATTTCAATTAAATATTATTTTGAAATTTTCGATTGTTACATGCTATTTAGTTGGTTGTTAAGAAGGCCTCCTTGACACTAAGCTTCTTCATTGTTTTTAAAGCTTTTTATTCCTAGTCAGGTAACTAGAACTAAAGAAAAATATTCTTCATTTATTATTTGCTTTGCTTCCTTTAGAACCCTTAAACTCCAAAGGCTGTTCTTTTTCTTTTCTATTGGGATTCCTTTGTTTTCGGATTTTCTCTTGGCTCTTTTGCTGTGAAGACTGGTGGAAGTTCATGTTTTGAATCAAAGAGGAGGAAGGGGAAAAAGGGTACATATTATAATTTATTTTTAATGTTATCTTTTGTACGATTGTTTCTATTTGTTGGGATCTGCTTTTTAGATCTTTGACATTCTCTCCTTTTGGTTTTTACTGCAGCTTTTCTCGTGTATTGGAGTTAAATAAATCTGGGATTTTGCTGATAAACAATTATAGTGTATTAGATCTGGTTAAAGTTGAAAACACACACACACGGGAAAAGGGGTTTTTTTGTGTTTTTTTGGGGTTTGAATCAGCTTTTAACTTTTGAGTCATAAATTAATGGTTGAAATAAACATTTTCTAAAAGTTAAGAACTTTTCTCGGTCTTGTCTTTTTTTATGTTGAGGACTGGCTAAAAGAAGAGTCCCCCATGAACTGAAATGATTTTGGTTCATGGTGCAATTTCTTTGTGTGTATTGTTTTTTTCACTTTATTGTTGTGTTTAACTGAGTATCATTAGCACTTTTTAGGGTTTTGTTTGTGGTGCATATGCTTGGAGTTTTATTTGTTTTCTAAGCTAATGAAATGAGCTTGAATTGCATACATGTTTGTTCTGATCTGGTTTATCACACCTTCAGCAATGGTGCGTATACTCCTTGTTTGATTTCATGTATTTCCACGGTGGTGGGTGATCGATTTTGTTTCGAGTTAATTAGATTCACAAATTGTGGTTTCAGTTGATCATATGAACTGTTTTGTCCTTGCAAAATCTTATTTTCCGTCCTTTTCGAGGGAATTCATGTTTACTATATTACTAAATCTGTCATTTCATCCTTTTGGAGCAACTTTTGTGTTTAATATATGAGGATTAGTTGTTTTGATTGAATGTTTTAATGTACTTGCAGGTGCTGAACAAGTGCTATGACATTCATACTTGGCTGACATAAAACCTTTGGTGAACAAAGAAATCCTCTGGATTCGAATGGACTAAAAAGAAGAGGTAACTGTGAAGTAAGACCGAAATTGTGTCGTACACGGTAAAGACATGGATGGCTGGCATCAAAATTCGATTGTTCTATGAGGGAAACTGACTTTGTGAGATCGAATTATCAGTCGTCGAAGAAAATGGATTCGTTTCAGGACACGGTTTTATTTGGATAAAAGTTTGATGGGGTGTAATTTGCCAGATTTGGTAGTTTGTTACAAGGAGAATGGATATCATGTTATCAAAGATATTTGTATTGATGGAGTTTTAACAAAGGACAAGTTCTTGTTCGACAGTGGCACAGATGAGAGTTTTCTGCCTTCTGAAAGGGATCTAGATGCTAAACTAATGAAAGAGAACCCGGAAATGGATATGTCCATAAACGATGTTCCGGCACTTCCAGAAGAAAATCAACCTGGCAAGGATATCGACAATGAATGGGGTTCGAAGAAAAAACTCGATGCTGATACATGTATACAGTATGTTTCCTTGTTAGAAGAAAATTCCGAGTCTAATGAGGGGCTTCCGAATCAATGTGATTCTAAAGATTTGATTTTGTCAAGGGAAATGAATCATGATGCGATGATGCAAGTGATTACGGATGACGTCTCCAAAGAATTGTATGCCCTTGGACTGGGAGAGTTAACTATGATGTCGGAAATGAGCTCGGTGAAAACTGAATCCGTGTGTTCCGACTGCAAAAGTAATGGAACCGAACAACAGTCATTTCAGGTAAACTTGTCTTGGTAAAAGTTATTAAAATGTCTATGTTCTATACCGAAAAAAAGATGGTTTACAACTTTGGAAGTACCATGATATGTTTTTTATTTTGTATGTAGAACTCAAGCGAAAAGGTAGTCACCAGGACACCACCTTTGGTTTCTGCAGTTGAAGAATCAAACAATAGCAGTGAGGAGGCGATTCTATCAGCTTCTGCTTTGGTTCCTGCAGCTGAAGAATCTGACCCTGGGAAAGGGGAAGCTACTTTGACCAGTTCCGTCCCGGCCTCCATTTCCGAGGAATCAAGCAGCCGCTGCATTGTTAAAGAGGTATCCAATGATAGCAGACTGGAGGGTGGAAGGATCACGAGTCACTTCGACTCTTCTGCTCCAGCCAACCACAAAGACGAGTGTCGCCACGATCTTGATAGTGAATCGAAGCCTGAAGGTAGAGTTGATCAACCTTTTTCGAACAATCTTCAATGGGGAAATGGAGAGTCTAGTTTCTCTCTTGCAGGGCCCGTAACTAGTCTTATAACTCTCCGGGCCAATAGCATATTCAGGCAATCTCTCCCTCAGATCAGATAGCAGTACAGCAAGCACTCATTCTTTCGCCTTCCCTATGTAATTTTACCAGCAAACTATCCATCTCTTGCACTTCACTTCTCCTTTGCATACAATTCATAATTAATCCTTAGTTGCTTGTTTGTTCATTCCTGCAGATTGCAGCCTGAATGGGATGCAAGTCCGGTAAGAATGGCTAAAGCCGACAGGAGACATTACCGGAAGCATTGGCGTTGGAGGCAGTGCATCCTTTGCTGTAGATTCTGAAAAGTTGTATTCAAATCATAGGTTATACAAATCTATTATTCTTAACAAGTTACATACATCAAGATCATCCTATTTTATCTCACACTGTAAGTAATGCCAGTTGGTTAAGATGGTATGATGCTTGGAGTTTCGATCTCGTTCACGTAACTTGAGCTGTAAGCAATGCCCTAGAGTTTTCTCATATATTTGCTTTTCTTTTTGGTTTCATTTTCTTTGTTAATAATGTCAAGTTATATCAGATAAAGGTCATTATATGTAATCTTTTTTTCCAGCCATTTACCCAGATGTTTTCTTGTTCATAAAATCTCAGTTCATATGCTATATCAATTCGGCTTCAAGAAAAAAATTGCTTTGTTCGTGTTATAGAATTGAAACTCAAGTAATATAGGATAATGCTTGCAGTGTCATATTGTTTATTTCATAAACTTTTGATCTTGCTTTTGCCCAGATTCAAAGGCTGGATTTGTAGTTAAATGTCAAGCTGCGATATGCTTGGAATTAATGTGTGTGTATGTATATAATAAAACTGAGAACTCATATATAAAACAATACAACTCTTTTATTTCTTTATTTATTTATTTTTGGTAACTTTTATTTATTATATATCGTGTAAATATAAAAATTAATAATAATTTGAAACTAAAGATGGTAAAAGTTAGATAATAATAAAAATAATAAATAGTATAATTCTATTCTTATGCTAAATAATTATTTGGTTGTTTGTTCTTTTTGGACCCGTAACAATTTAATTTATATACTTTTTATATATTTTAATTGAATAATAATTTTAACTTTACCTACAAAACAAGAAAATAATTTAAAGAAAGAGTATGGTTGTTTCACTAAAAACATTTTTTGAGAAATATTTTCCAATTTTATTTTTCGTTATTTGGATACTACAGTGTAAAATGTTTTTTTGGTGTTTAGTTAATTTTTCTAAAAACAATTTCACATATATTTCACGACTTTTTTATTTTTATTTTAATTAAGTTAATTTTGTTATTAGAAAATTACATTTTACAATTTTTGAACTAAAGCACAATGTTTTACTTCTATAAGTATATCAAAATAAATTTGTAAATAATATGAATAATTTATGTTGATTGTGTTATAAATACAATATTTTAAGTTTGAAGTCCTCATGATGCTTATTCACAAGAAAGAACAAGTGACTAGGTTTTCATTTTCATCTAATGTGTACCGAGTTCAAACATACAATTTTAAATATGGATTATATTGGTCTTGAATACACTTTAGTACTAAAAAGGAAAAACATTGTTTATATTACAATGTTGGAGCAGTACAATCCAGGTTATATAGGCTTAGAGGCCTTATTCTTTAGCCAACAACAGATTTCACTCTTTCCCTTGCATGAACATGTCAATCCAAAACAAATATATACGTAAGAAACCAAATTTGTATATGCACCAAGTCCCTGTTCGATGAGACATTGCTTTAGCTTGTATAATGCATTGCTCTCTAGCTGCCTCGTCATTTCCTTCGATAATTTGAGCATGCTTCCAATCTCGGATAGAATTGTCTCTACTCTCTTTGATACCAAACTGTAGCATGATTATTTTCTTTTCTCTTGGACTAAGAGCGCGAGGAAGGTTGCATACATGTTGGCACATTAGTTTCTTCACCACACTAACGACATTTATGATTAACACCATCCTCAATAACAACCGTCTGAAACACCAAGGGGTCCAAATGAGATCAACTTAGGCAAGTGCATCGACAATTGATTTGCTTTGGATACCCATATTTCAATTGCTTTGACTTTCTAGAGATTCAAAAGTTTTCCACTATAATTGAAAACCACAAAAGGGTTCCAAGCAATTCACAAGGATTCCAATTACCATTTTACTGAGCCCATATCAAGATAAACGTAGCAATACACCAAACATAAAGTTATCACCTTGGAATGCATCAATTTAAAAGATTTTATTAAGACCGTAACGAGCACCAAGTAAACTCCATTGTAAGTCTAAATTCATTGCCTCGTGGAACTCATAAAACAAAACATATCTACCCCACACCTTCAAGGAAAGGCTGCAGTTAATATGGATATCCCAACAATCCATCCAGCCCATAAGATGGAAATTCTAAGCCTCGAATGAGTCATATGATCACAAACCACAAATCAACACCTTAATATTTAAATCCAAACATACAATCATTTTTGGTGCATATTATAACTCTATTAAAGAAGCGTTTACATATGTTCCCAACAAGAACAAAAAACTCTCAACTCAAGGTTCACAATAAGCCAAATATCATTAAGTAGCAAAATAAATCAAATATTACATCTAGCAAAACCAACTACTTTATATTAAGGAAAAAAAGATCGATGTCATTGAAAATTATTGTAATGCCTCAAATTCTGGATTAGGAGTTTTGGGTTAATCTGAATTGGACTTTGAATAAACTCTGTGGCTTGTAAGAAGCCGTAACCTAAGTTCGAGTGAAATTGGGCTTGGATTAAGCCTAATAATAGATAAAAATGACATTTTTAGATTATGGATAAGACTAGGAGGACTAAGGAAGGGATTATACCATTTTTAATTTGAAACGCTGAATCCCACTGAATGGGAATGAGGTCACCTCTGACACCCTCTCATGCTTCATTTTTCTTCCCAAGTATTGCTAGTATTTTTTTAACATGGTTATAAATCATATATATATATGGTCGTATTCATTTGAACATATAAATTTAGGTACAAGACATCTTTTAATTAGTACGCATGATATATTCATGAGCATATCTTAACTCGATTCAAATAATTCGACTAAGGATAATACTCTTTCATTTTAAGGTAGTTGAAAATTGATTGTCTTAACTTATAAAAAAGTCACTTCCGATAAGTTTAAAATGAAAGTGTATCCCATCAAGTGAAACCCTAAAATTTGACTACACTTAAAATTGGGAATGAGAGAATAAGAAATGTTCGTTCATTTAAATTCTTCGAGAAAATATCGTTAGAACTTATCTAAGGTCTGATCTCGATATCTTTAAATAATCGAATATTCTTCTTCTTTCTAAAAGGCTTGAAATTTTTAATTTAATTTGTTTAATTTCGTGCATTTGAATATTTCAATGAAACCGTAATATTTCTTTATTTCAATTGGAGTAAGAATCGATTGTCTCAAGGTATTAGATGTTGATTTTTCTTTATAGGAAATAATTAAATATTACTCATTTTCGTTCTAACATTCAAATTTTTTAAGGGATCGTAAATTAAATTAAATTTGATTTAGGGCGTTTTGGGGTGCTAATCATTCTCTATACGTAACCGACTCCCAAACTCATTTTTCTGGTATGCAGACCATAAATTCATCGTTTTAATTAAAATTAATTTTTTTATTAAAATGAAAAAATACGTTTTTGGGTGCCCAATCACACCCTAATCAAATATTGGTGGCAACTCCTCGAACCATACGGTTTTTTATTTTATTTAAAGGTAAACCCAAATTTTTCGAAGCTAGAGATTTTTTAAAATCACATTACTTTTTGATTAAAAAATAATCAAAAGAGATATTAAAAAATATATTTTTTAAAATAAAAAAAACATTTCGACAAATTTCATATAAGTATATTTAATATTGTTTTTATATATGTAATTTTTATGCGTATTGTAACACCCTTAGACTGATATAGGTGATCCGACCTAATCTAAGGTGTCACAATAAGACTACCGGAGCGAACCAAAATATAAATCTAGGAAAATTTAAAATTTTATCAAACCAAATTAAAACAATAAAACAAATTTAAAAAAAAATACAAGTTAAAACATTAAAACATAATTCATCAATGCACCGTATAAAAATAAATTACAGATTGTAATATATAAAAACAACATATGACCTACATGCCCCTACATATGTTATGCTCCGCAAGCAAAGCCAAAAGAACTTCCATTACCAATGTCGAGAACTTCACATGATCAAATCTTTAACCTGAATGGAGAGTAACAGAGTGAGCTTTGAGAAAACCCAGTAATACAAAACTACCAAATAATACTAAAGGACAAGCAAATATTTGGTAAGGCATAAAGTTTTTCTAACGATCTAAGCATATACATGTTCTGGTGATGAGTTGAGGTTAATTAATTAATTGTTCAAGAAATAGTCAAGAAATTGACAGTTTGGAGGAAACATTCAGAGAGACGGATTTAAGAGATTGAGTTGGGGAGTCTAGTATGTTTCACCAAAACTAGAAATAAGTGTGCAAATAGTTTTTTTAAAAATAGTATTTTATTTCAGTAAAATAGATTTTAAAATCACAGTAATACCCTTCAACCGAATATCGATGTGTAGTTCCCAGCATTCATAAGGGCTTACCCTAGACCCATAGGGCATAGGAGCCAGTATAAAGGATACATTAGGTCAATAAGAAATTATCACTTGATCAGAATTGAACCTCCAAAGACCCTATAACAGATCCCTAATAGTACCCCAATATAAATCAAATTAAACACTAAATTGTAACGTCAACAATTGTGAGCCATATATATTTTGTATTAGAAAACAAAGATCAAAGATCGTGTTTTTATTTTAGATAACATATTCATACTTTTAAAATTAAAGAAAAAAAATTATATGCATAAGGAACACATTAGAGGATCAAATTTATTCCTATAAGGTACTTGGTAATTACTAGAAATGGGACACAAGATTTTAGATATTATCGAACTAATTCCAGAAATGAGATTTATATTAAAGGGGTTCAATATCTATCAGATCTGATATAACAATCGAAAATAGGTACCTTAAGATTATTTAAAATACAAACAAATCATAAGGGTATTCAGGAATTGTTATATCAGGATTATTTAAGAATTCAGATATTCCTGGAGCAATTTCATCAACCAGACTTATAGGGACACTTTACTCATTTGATTCTTAGGGAATTTGGTAATTCAATACAATAAGAGTAAATAATGATTTACAATATTCCATATTTCAAACGGCTTATCGGCTTTCAAGTTAAATCAAATTGAATATGTAACACCTCTAACCCGTACCCGACCCGGATACGAATATGAGGTGTCACATTGACTTTTCAAAACGTTTACTTTT